ACACATTTTAAAAAGTCTTCAATAAAGGACAAGTTTAGAAACCATCAGAATTCTACTCTTCAGTTGGAAATATATTTGTCAGTTTTCTTGGGACAGTAGACCCTAAACCTGGACAAAGTTTATGGGCTCTTCCATGCTCTGTTGACCTTGATGAGTTAATTTCATTTGTAGATGTCTTTTTCTTTATTAATTTATTGGAGAAGGCACAATGCAAAGCAAACTGATTTTATGTTGTCTTTTATCCCAAATCATATAACTTTAGGATATTCAACGTGATTGATCTGAAGATTCTCAAAGGAGGATTGTACACTTAGACTTTGTAATATTGTAAATTTCAGCAAGTCAGATGATTTTCTGATCATCTTATGGTGAAGTTAGAATCAGCAAGGAGAGGGATAAAATTCACAGTGCTACTATCAGCAGCAACTCCCATGTTCTCATAATATTAAAAAGCATTTGTCTTCACCAACAAAGGTGAAGCATCTGTCGTCACCTTATAAGCAGTGCTGATTCAATAAGATGAGAAATTTTGAATATTCAGAGAAGTTTCTGAATATTGAATGCTCAGAAAAGCTTCCAGAGAATATATATTGAATATGCAGATTTAGGAGGGGAGGCTTTCAAGAAGGGAAGCTGGAGTTAGTGGGAGTTCTTTGTATTGAAGACTAGCTTGGGGTTGCCTAAGAAAACAGGTGTCTGACTCAAATGGTTTCAAACAGTTCCCAACACCTGAGATGCTACAAGGATCACTACTCAAGCTGCACTCTGGTACCAGCTTGCTGAAGAACATGGAGGTGAGATACTTGGACAGGCCAGCTCTGGCCTCCCATCCAGGCGGGTCTCCCTTAGGGCAACACCAGCCTTTCCTTGGAAGGTCACACGTCCCAGCCACAGCTGCTGGGTGATGCGGAGCTGTCCGCAAGCCAGTGAGCCATTCTCTCCAGGCTATGACCCAGTGGCATTTCCTGCTTCCATTTTCATTTTTAAAGAAAACAAATGTTATCCTGCTCAGGTTCCCAGGACTGAGACTTCCTCCCCTAGGGAAGACGTCGCCTTGCCAGGGCTCTTTGGAAGCCATCCTTCTGTCTGCTGTGCGGCTATTAAGCCTAGTAGCAGAGTCTTGAGTTGGACATAAGGCAGACAGGTGTTGAGCAAGCTTCCCCCTCAGGCAGCTTGTGCAGGATGCTTTCCTCCGGATCTCAAACACCCACCCACTGGTGTTCCCATTTTAGGCCTCTCGGCAGCAGAGAGCAGCGCGCTCTGCAGATGTGACTAGTACTTACCGAAACAAATACAACAGACAGGATCACTCTGAATGCCAAAGATATACTAATCTGTTTACACCACCCACTTCCAACTCTTCTCTGAGGTGATGTAAATAGTGGGTTTTCTGTTTGGGGGGGATTGTGATACTTATCTAATGAAATAAAAACCAAAGCAAGATCCTGAGCTGGTTGGAGCTGGATTTGCAGCCCTCCGCCTTCTTAGCTCTGCGTGACTGTCCATGTATTCATCCTCCGTGTCTCTAGTCCCTTCCAGGCCTAACAGCAATTTCCTCCAATTACTTCAGTATCAGTAAATATATTTAGCCACTCAAGGTATCCTCTGACAAGGTACTTTCTGACAATTTTGTGGTGTTTCTAAATCAGATTGCTTTTCCTAAGATTAGGGAACCAAGTAACATTAAATTATAGAAGAAAGAAGCCGGCGGATTTGAAAGATAAGGTATTAAAGCTATCCGGGATTAAATAAAAGCATTATTTCATAATAATATTACATCTTTATAATGTATTTATTGCTTTTTACTGCCCCATATTTTATACATTTTTCTCTTAATATCACAGCAATGAGTTCCTAACCTTTTCAAATAGGATAATCACTTTTCACACCAAAACGGTTATCAAATACTCACCTGAACCTGTAATGGTAATCGTACCTTTATTAGCTTGAACACAAAACAGACCCAAAAAAGCTTCTCAGAACTTAGTTACACTTGTATCTAGAAGTACAATTTATCAATAACAGCATTTTGCATTTAAAAATAGCAGCACATTATCTACAAGGACATAATATTGATTTAGCCTAAAAACAATGCTTCAGTGCACATGTAGATTCACAGGCCATTCAAGCTGTCTACTGACCATAGGTTAAACATAACTAACGCGGAAGGACCAAAGTTTATACCCTATGCTGTGGTTTCTATGAAGTGATGCTTTTCCTCCAATATCTCTGGTTTTTAGGAAGCAATTTATTTTGCCCTTGAAAAAAAAAAGGTTAATCTAATTTTCTTAATCTGATAAAGTCCCTAGGGCATTAGGACTGTTTCCTAATTAAACAGTACTTGACAGAAAATCTAGAGCAAGACTCTGAGGGGAAGGAAAGCTGCAAACTTTGACTGCTAGGGTAGAAATGTCCCTTCACAAGAATAAAAATTGTATTGGATGAAGCAGAACTGAACTGTGATCATCTCTGTCTGCAATATGATTAATAATGCCTTTCAAAGGATTTAAACAGAGGCTCGTGGAGGACGCCTGTACAAGGAGGAAGACAAGGCGAGTCAGTGAGCAAGGTTGTGAACTCAGTCCCAGGAATACAATGTTGCCCTTTTTGTTAGCTATAGGGAAACCAGACAATGTTTTGTTTATCTAAGCCTACTGATTGAATTAGGTCAGACTAGCTCTGGAGGGAATTGTTTTTTAAAACACACACACATACACACACACATATACAAATAAATGAAGACATGAGCAGCCTTTTAGTTGAGTGATTTTCTTAATGAGCATGGAGAGGCAAGCATTTGGAGAAGGAAAAAGTGTTTCCATTGCATTGAAAGGGCTGCAAAGCATTGCCATTGGAAAGTATATTAAAGAATATTTAAGCAAAGCAAGAAGCAACTAGGCAGTTTTATACTTTCTGGAAGAGGCATATTAAATGCATAAAGAGGGAAACAGTGTAAGTAGAGTGGGAGATGGAGGAAATTGGGAAAGAGGAAAGTGGGAGGTGAGCTTGCCCAGAATTTCAAACTCAGAGGAGGAACTGTGGATTCTGGTCTTGGCTTTGGCTGGTTGGTTGGCTGTTCTTGGCACAAACGCCACCATTTGCTCACCTCAGGAGAGAGTTAGCTATTCTAACAAGATTGTATAGAACCTAATAAGTCAGTAATTTCACATTCATAAGCAGCTAGACATCCTTAGAGAATACATTAAGCATACACTTGCATGAAATATTAATTTTGATATTATATTTTGAAGATGAGATTTTTTTTATCTGACAATTTAAAATATAGCATAGATTATCAGCTATATGGAGAAACTACCTTCTTCCCAAATAATAAGAAAATTTAGCTATTATATCTATTTTAGAACTTTTATATGCAGAATTTTCTAGAATTGATATCAGACTTTCTACACAAATCTGTACTTATTTGATTCACTTGACTTTTCAGGATTATAAAATTTGAAATGTCAAAACTTTACCGCCATCATATATGTGGCACTCACACATAATTTTTAAAGTATTCATTCCTATATTTTCAAAATGATTAAATAAACTATTATGTTAACCATTGATCATTTCCTATGTTTTCCAAACAAAAGACTATGATATGAAAAAGTCTATTTCACATAGCCACTTAAGAAAATATATGCATTTTCCTTCTTTCTTTTAATGTCAAAAAAATGTGTCATCATTGTGCCACTTCCTCTGTGGCTTTCATGGATACAAAGAAAAAGCAAAATCTTAAAAAAAAGTTATTTCCTGATTTAAGTCTTAACACTGTTGTTATTAATAGTACACTATGGTAAGGTACCACCATCTGCTAAAAACTATACAGAAAATAAACTAAGAGTCCAAAAGTAAGACCAGAGTTATTAGAACAGAGAGAATAGAAAGTGCATATATGCACACAGTACATCTCATTTTTTTTCTTTTTCAGAGATGTATTCTATTTGGTTGGCTTTATGAGGATCCCATGAAGGATATAGGACCCCTGGTGCCCTAAAGCCTTTTCTTCCTCAATGATCAATGAAGAAAAGGCCCTGGAGAGGTCTTGATCTCAGTAACTTCTGCTTTGTCTGAATCTTAATCTTGTCCTTTTGCATCAATTATGCAAGTAGACTAAAACAGGATATGGATATTCTTATTTTTCTGGGCTTTCCAGTTCCAGCTCTTTCAAACACACCTACTTAAATGTTGCCAGTGTGAAAATCCCAAGCTACCTGCTATGAGTGAACTGTGATCCACCATATGCATCAGGAATAATGCTTTGAAATAAAAGGAAATTCGAAAGTTTGGAAACTCTTAGGTGGAGAATGGGTCTGGGTTTTTCTGTCATTTCCTTTTTTTTTTTCCTTCTGTACAGGTGCCATGTGCATGACCATGCTGCCTCTAGTACCACAGGAAATACCTGCATATCAGAATGGGCATCTGAGAGGATGTGTTTTATAACCTCACAGGATCATGAGAGTAGTTTTATACCTGGGTCTTAATTTGTTCCAGGGACTAAGAAGAAAGGGAGACATAGCTATGGTCATTATGTTCTGTTGTCTATGTGTGACTAAGATTTTATTTTTAATTTGTCAATCTTGGAATCTTTCAAAAGCTTGCACTGAGCAACAATTTTTTTCATCGCCTTTGAGCGTGTGTGTGTGTGTGTGTGTGTGTGTGTGTGTGTAATAGCTGTGAAATCAGACTTAAATGAAAATAGCTGCTTCTACAACAAGCTGGGTCTTCTCCGCTACAATTTTTCTCAGTGTCAGAATGTCCTGCCTTGTGTTGGGGTGGATGGAATCCCTGGCCGCAGCTTCAGAGGCAACCTGTGACCGCTGCAGCTTTTGGAGTCTGATGGGTAAAAAGGAGAGGGTGGGAGTGTGTGGGACAGGCAGACATACTAGTGGGAGGGAGTCAAATTGCTTTGAGCTAGGCTTGCAAATGTTCTATGTGGATGTTATCCTGCGTGCATGAGGTGCCCACAAATAAACCCATCTCTGTTCTGTTCATAGTTCTAATGGCAAGTCTGTGTCGTGGTCCGAACCAGGTGGAAGACAGGTGCCCAAAGGCCAGCACATGTGGCATCGCCTGTCGGTGCACGTGAAGACCAACGAGACGGCCTGCAACCAAACGGCCGTCATCAAACCCCTCACTAAAAGTTACCAAGGCTCCGGCAAGAGCCTGACCTTCTCCGATACCAGCACCAAGACCCTTTACAACGTGGAGGAGGAGGACGCCCAGCCGGTGGGCTTCAGCCCTTCCAGCAGTCCTTCCAGGGCGGCGCCCCGCCGCGTGCCGACCGCGGCCAGCACGCCGCCCCTGCCGCCCCACCTGACGGCCGAGGAGACCCCCCTCTTCCTGGCCGAGCCGGCCGTCCCCAAGGGCTTGCCCCCGCCCCTCCAGCAGCCGCCGCTGCCGCAGAAATCCTTCCTGGACCAGCTGCAGGGCGTGGCCAACAACTTCAGCGCCGGGATCCCGGATTTCAGCTCGGTGCTGGCGGTCCCCGGGGCCGCGGGGAACGGGGGGAGGCCCCTGTTCCCGCCCCCGGCGCCGCCGCAGCACCTGCCGCTGCTGCCGCTGCCGCTGAGCCCCTTCGCCGAGGAGCCCGCCTCGCCGCCCGGCGACGACGACGACGAGGACGACAGCGAGAGGTTCAAGCTGCTGCAGGAGTACCTGTCGGAGCGCGAAGGGAACACGGAGGAGGACGAGCTGGAGGAGGAGGAGGAGGAGGAGGGGGCCCTGCCGGCGCCCAGCAAGCCCACCCCCGAGGCCTCGCCCGCCCTGACGCCCCCGTCCCCCTTCCGCGACTCGGTGGCCTCGGGCAGCTCCGTGCCCAGCTCCCCCGCGTCCGAGTCGGTGCTCTGCACCCCTCCCAACGTGGCCTACGCCTCGGTCATTCTGAGGGACTATAAGCAGAGCTCGTCCACCCTGTAGGGAGGAGGGGTCCCGGGGGGAAAAGCCAGAGGGGGTCGGTCAGGGGAGCCTGAGCACCTCCCCCGGAGAGACGCTGCGGGGGAAGCTGGGCAGGAAGCCGAGGCCGGAGGTGGAGTCAGGGAGCAAGGATGCTACGGCTGCTGCCGCCTTAGCAAGGCCAGCGCCGGAGGTGCTGGACTCCGCAAGCCAGAAAGGATCCAGGCAAGGATTGTCTTGAATTCAAAACCCTTCTCTTGAATTCAAAACCCTTCTCTGGGAAGAAAGGGAATTCCGACAAAGCACAATCCTATGTAGTAAAAAAAAAAAAAAAAGCCAGATGAGATTGTTCGGAGAGTAGCAGAAGAGTTTGCGGATTTACCTGTGTGCCAAGGGGGCTCTCCTTTGCCCTTATGTTAAAGAGAACAAACCACATGGCAAAATCGTTACCTTCCATTTACTGTAGCAAATAATACTTACCAGTTGAACTTCCTAAGATGCAGTATGTATTTGGTGCCATTGTTTCTCCTATGTACTACAGAAACAAATCTATCTTTGAACTTAATGGTGTACTCATAGCAGCTATTATTGGTTTCAATGACAAAGAATTCTTTCCAAGTGTCACCGAAGTCCTTGTAACTAGCAAGTGAATGTGATCCTGTTTCCTTGTATACCCGTGATAATAAAAACTGTGCAATGTAATGTCAATCTAACTGCAACTAGAAGACTGTCTCTCCGATATAGTATAGATATTTTTATGTCCCAATAATGTTTTATATGCCATTGTCATCAATATCTACAGGAGCTCTTTGAAGGTTGGAGTGCTCTGGTCCAATGTTTTTCATATGTTGCTCAGATGGTCCTTCTTTTAAGAGGGAACTTATTTTTCAGATATTTTATGATGTGGAAATATGTTATTAATGAAGTGGTTTGAAGATTTGTTATACTAAAAGTTCACAAAAACTGTGGGTAACAGTAAAAAGGTGGATTTTATATAATTGCACACATCATTATTAAAACATAAGATTGAAACAGTATTTACATTATTTGTTTCCTTTATGATTTTTTTAACTTTCCACTGCTACTTGAGCTTTATGTGCTTAAAGCATACATTAACCACTGTCTTGTCATAATTTTTCAAATTATTTATTCCTCACTTTTTGATTTCTTTTCATTTTTACTTCCATGTTCTTTCATTCATGTATTTTCACTGTCCTAGCTTTTCTTTTTCTTTTTGTTATTTGCGGTGTGTAATATCTATGTCTGTGTAATCCAGTTGTTTCATTTTTACTCCTCCCTTTCCCCCCAATAAAAGAGATTTTTCTTGCTGTTTCGATTCTTGTATTATTTGGGAATGAATCTTATCTCCTTAAATATCTTTGTTTATGCCTTATGTTCAGTCGTTTAATGTGCTTCCTTCATGTTAAAGCTGCTGATTTCTCAGCCAAAAATTATCTTAGACTCTTTAAATACCCACTGCATCATTTGTTCAGAATTTAACATCCACTCCAATGTTTGAGGCTCATATTTCTTACGTCTTCCCATATCCTACTGCCAAGTTTAGTCAGTTTTATATTAAGAATAGACTGCCTTTTCTTTTAAAAAAATTATTTTATTACACCTTTGGTAGAAAGACTCATGACTGAAATGTGATTTCAGTTCCATTTTCACTGTTATGAGGCAGAACGAGGAAGATGGATGGTTCTAGTGCTTGATATATGGTCTACTAATTGGCAAACTAGCAAGGGAAAGTATACAATCTAATATTAGTAAAACAGGTTTTTTTATCCTAATGCCATTGACATCTGTTCTTAACATCAGAACTTGTGCATTCAGAAACTTTTAAAGTAAGAATAGATCAGAAAAACTTCTTCTACTATTCAAATATTATGTCAGTTTGTCCTGAGGTTTTAGTCTCAGATGTTTGGTGAAAACATTCAACACCAGTCACATTATTACTCTGAATGCCTACAATACCCATGATTAAAAGTTTTCCTGAGTATAATAGATTATTAGCTCTTAAATCATAATTGTTCAAAATTGGAAATATACACATATGTACCCTATACAAAAAGGGCAGAAACTTTCCACCTTAATGTATGTGCTTATACAAGTTGTTTAGCTTCTTGTGAAAGTGTTTCCCTTTGGCTCGTTACTGCCTTTTGTCAAATAATCTTGATAATGCTGTATAATAAATATTTTCTATTTATTAAGCGAGTATGTTCCCTCTCTCTAGTTTGTAAGCATGACAATGACAGAAATTGACTGGTATAAAAAAATAATTTCAATGGTTTGATTTTGCTCAGAACACATCTTTTAGGTGAAAGCTGGAGATAACCACACAAAATCTACAGACCAGGTAGGTGATGAAGTAGAAGATAATTTGATCATGAGGAAGGACGTATCAGTTTAAAGTGAACTCCAGAATTTAAATTTTCAGTAGTGTGGCAGACATTGTCATCTAGCTTTTTTGATAGAAAATGTGATGTTGACAAACTCCGGCATCGCCAGCAAAGCTTTAAAGACAGAGGCATCCGAAAGCCCTATCCTTGCTTCATTGTGCCCCACACGGCCTTTTCCCCTTGGCTCACACTCTAGGGACACCTGGCTTTTCACTTTGTTGATATCCTCCTGCTCATCCCAACTTATATTCCTCTGCATTTCAGTAGAGACTTCACTAGTCCTCAAAACAATGGAGCCTCTTTTATTCACATCTCTGAATGAGACACCTGCAAAGTAAGGCATCTACCAAGTGTCATTTGAAGAGAAAACTTGGTGATACCAGGGCCACATCCATGAGATCGTGGTGCCTTTGGATGGATGGAGCAGCCTCTATCCAGGAAGGCTGATGTTGAGGAAATTACCAGAAACAGGAGCTAAGACACTGGGGTTATCTTCATGGTGCCCAGAAAATAGAGTAAGTTATGAAATAGGGGCTTGGTGTCTGATGAGGAAAACCCATAGGAGAGAGAGAGAGAAACAAAGAATGGGGAAGAAAAGGAGAAAATTACAATATTTCAGATGTGTAGTCCAAAGAAGCAGCCATATACATCGTGAGTCATTAAGGCCTCTGCCTGGCGAGTCCAGAAGCTTCATCACAACAACGGAGGCATTTGGAGATGTTGAAATTGGAATCCAGATACTACAAACGTTGTAATAGGAACTGCCCCAACAATTTCTATCCTGAGAAGCCACCAAAGAGAAGAGAAGCAACCTATTTTTAAACCTACTCTGGGCTAGAAATGTTGCAGCCCCCCCCCCCTCCACCTCCACCCCTCGAGATCTTAGTTCTCTGACCAGGGATGGAACCCCCAGCCCCTGCAGTGGAAGCGTGGAGTCTCCACCGCTAGAAGGCCAGAGAAGTCCCTGCAGCTCCTTTGCATTCATTCTCAGCTAATCTTCCCAGTACTACAGCCATAAGGAATATTGTAAAGAACTAAAATAATTTGCACTTGCCCAAAATCTCCTAGATAGTAAGTGACTCAGCAGGGAATTGACCCCCAAGGAAAGCCTGTGAATTCATGCTCTTCTATAGAACCCAGGAAAATACATAGGAGTCACTGTCAACTGGGACTTCTCTCCCTTTCATGTTCCCATATTTTATTCACATCCCAGATTACATTATAACTTACATGTCTCTTTCCCTGAAGAGACTGTTAGTTCTTTCTTGCATTCTAATACCTGATTTCTGAGTCTTCAAGGCAAAGCAGACACTCAATAAGTATTTGCTGAGAAAGTAAATGAGTATTTACTATATAACACTATATAGTTTTCCCAGCCCAGTTCTCTGAAAATTTGTTCCAAGATCCTTATGGGGTCCAGATCTCTGTATTTCTACCTACTGATCCTAAATCTGCCAACTGGAATAGCACATATTTTCGTCATGAAAAACAAGCTCTTCTTTTGGCATCAGAGACAGCAGTCCCACTGGGCAGCAGATCTGCTTTGCCTGCAGAAGAGGGTGGCAATACTCAATGTTCCCTGAACCCAGCCAGAGGTCTGGCAAGGTAATGCTAGGTGTGGGAAACAGCGTCCTCTGCAGGAGAACTGCAGATAAGACACAGACCGCTGGAGAAGGCACCAGTTAGAGGGCAAATAAGTCATTCATGGGGATGCATGGGCTGTGGATTCCTTCCTAACAGAAGTATATCCCTTTAGACAAAATGAAAGGCTAATTGTGTCACCAAGCCTTGGGAGAAAGGAAGTCTGAACTTTGAGAATTCAAGAAGTGATGCTATTAAACTGGAAACTGGCTTGATTTTCTCAGGGTAGCCGGAGAAGCAGTGCTTACAGCTTAATAAACAAGAAGGAAAAGCTTATGAATGAAGATTATAGAAGCTGAAAAGGAAAATCATCATAGAATTAAAGAGTTGGAAGTAAATTTAGAAATCACCTAAACTCTTACCTCAGTGAAGATCTGTCTTATTCCCTTGTGTCTTGTTCTTCTTCCCGTGTCAGGCTGGGGCCAGGTGAGAAGCCTCCACTGACTAGGGTTGGACAGGGAGGGACTGGCTGGTACAAGGCTTATGGCCAGCAGTTGTGCAAAGAGAGAGAGCAGATGGTCCTGGATCCTGGAAATGCAAGTCCGAAACTACATTGTTAATACCCAAAGCTGGTCAGAGAACAGAACTACTGTGCAAATCCAGGATGAAGATCTCTGGGGAACCAGGAAAACCAAGAGATAGCACCAGCAATATATGCAACAGGATGGCAGCCTGATGGAACTGCAGAGACAAAATACAGATAACAGAAATGAGCTTTTGGTAAGAATCACAGAGGCTTATATATTCATGACCTGGTTTAAGGGATAGGATGGATTTAGGGGACTTTTGCCCTCTGCCTAAGTATTTCCAAGGACTGAGATCTTGCATTAGATAAGGAAAGGCTCTAATTGTTAGAAAAATCTTCCTTTTCCAAAGTCAAAATTTGCTTCTTTTCTCTAACTTTTGTCCCGAATAGTCGTTGGAAGGACTGATGCTGAAGCTGAAGCTCCACTACTTTGGCCACCTGATGCCAAGAGCCAACTCACTGGAGAAGACCCTGATGCTGGGGAAGATTGAGGGCAGGCAGAGAAGAGGTGACAGAGGATGAGATGGTTGGATGCCATCACCAAATTAACAGACATGAGTTTGAGCAAACTCCGGGAGATAGGACAGGGAAACCTGGTGTGCTGCAGTCCATGGGGTCACAAAGATTAAGACATGACTTAGCAACTGAACAACAACTTTTGTCCAGTTCAAATTCTGCCTTCTGAAAAAAAAGACTGAATACATTTAGTCCACTGTGCACAGGGCTTCTCTTCAGCCACTTGAAAACAGCG